TTACGCTTATATACATATACACATACCTTATCGTATATACATTTACACTGTGACCGCAAGCCATAGAAGTACCTTATCATACGCTTTAGATACAAAAAACAACCAGTAGCAAAACTTACTATTCTGAGCATTTGTCATAGAAATTTTTATTATTTTATTTGTATTTAAATTGAGTCAAAAAATTTAAATAAAAAATAATGTTAGGAAAGGTAACAAAAACAGAAATTCTTGTGAGCTTTGTTGATTTGTTATGTGATTTTTGCTCACATTTTAGTTAAGGAAATGTGATTTTTGCTCACGTTTTAGTTAAGGAAATGTGATTTTTGCTCACGTTTTAGTTAAGGAAATGTGATTTTTGCTCACATTTTAGTTAAGGAAATGTGATTTTTGCTCACGTTTTAGTTAAGGAAATGTGATTTTTGCTCACGTTTTAGTTAAGGAAATGTGATTTTTGCTCACGTTTTAGTTATATTTAAGGAAAAATGAGTAAAAATAATAATAAAAGAAAAATAATAATAACAAATTTGTTAATAAATAATTGTTAATAAATAAAAAGGTAAATAATATGTTATAAATAAATTAGAAAAAGTTTCAATGATGTTATAAACTACAGTTATGTCACAATTAAGTTTATATAATGTAATAAATAAAAATATATGGTAGGCTTTTTAAACTTGCCAAAGTTTTTATGTAAAGGGTATAGAAATGTATAGTAGTTTTGAATTGTAAATGATTTAAAATTTACTATTCAAAATCATTCTTTCAAGAAATCTTAAAATTTTAGTCATTGAATTGTTTTTAACTACTCTTTTCCTAACTCATTAAGACAACTGTTAGGCTTTTGAGATTCTATTAGGCTGACATAAATGTTACCCCTGTGTTTACTGTCTAAGATCTGCTAGATCTTCTAGAGATTTTTCAGCTGTTGATGGAATCAACAGTTGCAAAATATCAGAGTATTAACAGTGCCATGTTGCGCATTGGAGATTTGTCGAGGTCACATAAGGAACCCTATGTTACGACTTAGGGTTAGTTAAAAGGAGATAATTGAGATAATTGCATACCTGATTGCTTAGGAAGCCGTGCTCTACTTATGAGTCAAGTTATCTCTAAACTTAAATCCTTAAAACTTAAGTAACCCAAAGTATTAAACATAAAAAATCATCCCCACCACCTAACTGTTTTAATATATCTTTTACTAATATTTGTGGTCTGGAATCTTCCATTAGTTGAATCTTACTTCTTGCAAAATTCACCAGACTCACTTGCTCTTAGTGAAACTAATTTAATTTCTGCTTAAATTAAAGATCTTTCTTCTAATCTCAGTGTTGATGGGTACTATCCTTTGATTTGCAAAGACTCCAATTGTCACATGCTTGGCTTAGAGGTGTACATATGCATCAATTCATCAATTTATTGTGAAATCAGGTTCGAATCTTTTGATTATTCCTTTATGTACTTCTGCTTAGCACCTTTTCACTCTATGACCTTTCTCTTTGTTCTTTATTTTTCTCCTTCTTCCCAAGACTGCACTCTTTTAGATATAATTTCTGATCAAATTGACAATGCTCTCTCTTTACCCCTCTGCCAATATTGTTGTAATTGGTGACTTTAATGCTCATCACAATAGCTATGAATAGCTTGGCTCTAACATCATTATATGAATAGCTTGGCTCTAACATCATTGACCCTGCTGGCACTAAAACCAAAAACTTCTGCATTTCTCAATTTCTTACTCAGAAGGTTAACTTTGTGACACGTTTTCCTGACAACTCTAATCATTTACCTTCACTCCTTGATTTATGGTCTCTGATCCTAGCTTGTGTTCAGTTTCTCCTTTTTCTCCCTGGTGGTTCTGACCAATGAACTCTTTAAATCTTTTATATTGGATTTCATTTTCAAACTCAGCCTATAATTGCACTACTTACTACTATCCTAAAGCTGACTGGGACTCTTTTTATGATTTTCTTTGTGACGGTTCTTGGGCTGATGTCTTTTCCTTCTCAGCTGATAAATGTGCCTCCTACGCTACCTCCTGGATTCAGGTAGGATAGGATGTTTTTATTCCTTCTTGTCGGTTCCAAGACATCAGTTCCTTTATTAACAACATCCTGTTCACAAAAGAAGGTCTAAAATTCCATCTCTCATTCATGGTACCGATCTTATTACCTCTCCCAAGCATTAGGCTGAACTAATTGTAAAGAACTTTTTTTCCAATTAGACTCAAATCTTATGGCCATTCTCTTCCTTCAATTTTGATTAACCCATTATTTGACATTCAAATCACTCCAGCTTTCGTTGCTAATGTCATATCTCGATTAAACTCTTCTATGGCTTGCAGTCCAGACAACATTACTGTCACAGTTATACAAAATTATTCTTCAGAACTCTTTTTAACTAAACTATTTAATAAGCGCTTGACTGAGTCTTGTTTTCCTGCCTGCTGGATAATGGCATCTGTTGTGCCAGTTTTCAAAAACTCAGGTGAACATTCTGAGCCCTCCAATTATCATCCAATCAGTCATCTTTCTGTTATTAATCAGGTCTTTGAGTCTTTGATAAACAAGTTTCTCATATCACTTCTAGAGTAAAAAAACTTGCTATCAGACAATCAATGCGGTTCTCAATCCTCTAGCTCTACAGCTGACTTGCTAACTGCTGTGACTGAAAGATTTTATTGTGCATTAGATGGAGGCTGAGAGGCTAGGGCTATTGCTTTTGACATATATAAGGCTTTTAACAAAGTTTAGCATGATGGACTTCTCCATTAGCTTGTTTCATATGGTGTATCTGGGAAGGTTTTTGAGATAATCAAATCATTTCTTTCTAACTGCTTTATTAAAGTCATCCTAAAATTCGTCTTTGTATGGATTACTGTTATCATATTTGGGCTAGTTTTTCTAATGAAAAATCATTAAATAAAACTCATTCTTGTTTGACTTGTCATTCATCAAAGTCTCATTCTTTTACTGTATCTGTCCCTGCATGCTCTAAAAACGTTTATTTGTCTAGTTTTTTCTAGTAATTGTCATACAAGTATAAAAGCACAGGTAACCTGAACTAACATTTCAGTTTTTGTCATTGATGAATAAAGGAATAAGGAAACAAATAAAGGAAAAATTAAAAAACTTGGTCTGTTGTACAATAGGATTCAAATCCTGTCACCGCCTACTCAGCGCTTGAGTAGTACTTCTGTACACAAAAATGTTGGTCAATAACAGGCGCTACTTTGGATTAGTTTTAATGACTATTTTTGGCTGTTTCTATGCTAAGCCAACAACATTTTTGGATAAAAACATTCTATAGAAAAATATAGCATGCAAATTCAAATAAATAAAAAAAATAAAATTCAAAATAGAATATTTGTAGTGAAATTGTTTAACTATTTGATGGCATCAAGACAAAAAACATCCAACAAAAGCATTTTGCTACATGTGTAGACAATTTATTTAAAAAAAAGGTTCAAAAAGTTTTCAGTGGAAACAAGTTGTAAAATGTGTGAGACCTATAAGAATTAGTCTTGATTCCTGACAAGCATACTTTGGCTTACAAAGATGTTGGGCACCACATCTTTGTATACCAAACTATGTGTTGCCCAGAATTTTTCTTGATGTCAGAAATCAAGATATGTTTTTGGCACCACCTTTCGTATGCAAATATTGTAAGAGAACTCATGGAGGTAAGTTTAATAGTTTCTTTTTGTTTAGATCTGCTTTATTTTGTAGAACTTCAATGGTTTAGATATACACTGTTCATTTTAAGAAGTTGTTAACAAAATTTCTGTATATATTAATGCACTATATGTTCTATGTTAATATAATACCCAGTATTATATTAAGAACATTATATTGATTTGTAAAATTTTACACATCAATATAATGTAAATTTGAAGACATCATTATATTGATGTCTTCAAATTTATGTAATTAGTTATATCTGGTATTTTACTGATTATTTTTACTCAACACTTGTTGGGTAAAAACAAAATGTTTTTACAAAATTTGGTGGTTTCACAAACTTTTTTTGTTACTTTTGTCTCTTGGAGCAGAGACACTAAAGCATTCTTGACAGAAATAAATGGCTACAACAGACCATATTCTCTGTGGGCAAGTGTAATGTAAAGTGAGGCTTACTAATAGAACCTCATAACGCACATATGCTACCACTGCACATCAAGTTAGGCAGTATCAAGCATTAGCAAGGCAGCATCAAGCAAATTAACATCTTTTAAGTACCTCTAAGAACTTTATCCATAATCTTTGTCCAAGGTTAAGCTTAAAGCTGGTATCTTTGTCAGACCTTAAATCAAGAAGATCATAGAGTATGACAAGTTCTCTAAGTCTCTGAAAAGAATGAAGAAAGCAGCTTTTTTTGCAGTTGTTCATGGCTTGCTGGGTAATTACAATCCTGAAAGTTATGTAGACTTGGTTTAGATTGCTATTAAGAATTATGCCAAAATGGGATGCAAAATGTCACTATTCATATCCTTAATGCTTATCTCAAGTCCCTAAATTTCTATGATCTTCCAATACTCTGAACTCCAGGCAAAAATAGAGACTTTGCATCCCTGATGTACATATTAAAAAAATTTTTATACAAAAACAAAAAAATATTTTTAGAATGTGTATATATATATATATATATATATATATATATATATATATATATATATATATATATATATATATATATATATATATATATATATATATATATATATATATTAATATATATATTATTATATATGTATATATATTATATATATATATTAATATATATATTATTATATATGTATATATATTATATATATTCTATTACTAAAGGAATATATATATATATATATATATATTATATATATTCCTAAAGTAAAGGTCTTGAAATTACTGCCTGTAGTAAAAAATGGCTCTTAACTGCTCTTTGAAATATAAGAAGACAAAGTTAAGTACAGCTAATGTTTAAACCATTAAATTTAATTGAGGAAAGTAATATATACTTTTTAGGGTACATGAAGTTGAAGGAACTATTCCATTTGATACTACACTTACTGTACAGGTATATGATTTTGACCGTGGTGCAATTCGAAATGAGCTTATTGGTCAAACTCAAATAGATATTGAGAATAGGTACTTTACTAAATATAGAGCAAAGTGTGGACTGCCACAAGAATATAAGAAGTAAGTGTTTTAGTTGCTTTTCAATTTTGTAAAATTTTTAATTTTTTAGTTAATATTTAATGAATAAATAAAATATTTTATTAAAGAATAAATACAATAATTTATTAAAAATTGTTAAAAAAAGGGAACCAGTTTAAATAAAGTTTTATTAATTGGCGATAGGCAAGGTGTTGCTAAATGGCGAGATATTCAATCACCAACAGAGATAATATCAGAGCTTGCATTAAGGTGCAAGATTGATGTAGATTACAAAGGTATATCTTTAAAATAAAATATATAATATTTAAAAAAGAATAGTATTTGACTTTTTGTTGCAGTGATGGAAAAATCTAATCATTTAATAATCAACAAATTTTTTCTCCCTCAATGTTTAGATTCAGATTCTGACCAAGAGGAAATTGCATTTGCAGCTTTAAAAAAATTTCAAAGAACAGACTTTAAGTTTGTTCCAGAACATGTGGAAACAAGAAACCTTACGCATCCTAATCATCCTGAAGTATCTCAGGTTTTAAAATAAAAAAATATTTTTTTGTTTTGTAAAGACATTTTTTACACAGATGTTAAAAAAATTTATTAAATTTTTTTGTTTATGCGCCATTATTTATTTTAACGCTACTTAATTCTTGACTAGTATTTTTTTTATTTTGCAGGGAAAACTTTTAATGTGGGCAGACATTTTTCCTGCTGGTAATCTTCCTCCCCCTGTCGACATTGCAAAACCAAAGCCAGTAAAATATGAAATTCGTATTATTATATGGAACTGTTCAAATGTCCCATGCATTGATAAAAGTATTTTGCTAGGGAACATGCCAACAAGTGATATTTACGTTAAGGGGTAAAAGATATTTATATTGAGGGTTTATATTAAGGAGGCAAGTGACATTCACTTTCCCAATAATTAATAATCCATATATTAATAAATAGATTTTTCACATATAGTTTGATAAAAATTTGTAGTCAGAAAGCAGTTCCTTATTTCACAGAAGGAAAAAAGAGTGTCGTATCAGCACTCTAGTATAATTTTATATTGAATAGAATAAATTTCAGTTATTTTTAGCAACTCAAAAGCTGTTTAACACATATTTCTAATTTTTTTTTTTTTTTTTGTAATAATGACTCCATAAAATGATTTAAATGATTATTGTTAATGGTTTTTTGTTTGAGTTTTGATTGGTGTTTTTATTTGATTGTATTTAGTTGTATTTGTGTTTATTGGTTATTAGTTTAAAATGAATTTTGGAAAATTTTTTTACCCACCTCAAGCTTATTAAAACCACCCTGTTTATTAGTTTTTACTTTTTATAAACAAAGAAACTGAATCTAAAAGCTAAAAAGAAATTTAATGTAAACCAGTCTTTAAAAACAAGAAAATATAAATCACTAATGACAACATAAGTTTTAATCTCCTCAAGGATATTTTAAACGGTTCTATCCTTGGGTCTATTTTGTTTCTTATCTACATTAATGATCTTCCTGACAACCTTACATCTAAAGTAGCTTTTTGATGATGAATCAACTTAATATTCCTGTTTTAACAAAAAGTTTTTTTTTTTTGATTGTATAGAACAAGCAGCTAATCTTGAATCTAATGTCACTTTTGTAACAGATTGGAGCTTGCAATGGCTTGTAAATTTCAACTCCAAGAAAACTCAGTTATTTACTGCAAACAACTATTGAAATACTGTCGACATTCCTATATTAATGAATATAGGAATATCCTATATTACCTCTACAAATTCCTTCATTCATTTCTGTTTGGAATACTGTTGTCATATTTGGGCTGGTTCTTCTAAATATGCGCTTTCTCTTCTAGATAAGGTCCAAAAACGCATCTGCTAAGTATGAGCCTCTTTGTCATCAATATAAAATTGCATTTATTTCTCTTTTCTACCAATACTATCATGGTCGCTGCTTAAAAGACCTATCATCTCTAGTTCCATCAAATAAAACTCATTCTTATTTGACTTGTCATTCAGCAAAGTCTCATTTTAATGTCTTCAAAGTCTTGTTTACTGTATCTGTCCCTGCATGCTGTAAAAACTTTTATTCGACTAGTTTTTCCCTGATTTTTTGAAACTCTCTTCCGTCCTCCTGCTTTCCTGACTCATACAATCTTCAACTTTTCAAGTCTTCTGTCAACCGTTTCCTTGCTCTACAACTCTATTCTTTTTTTCTAGTAACTCCCAACATAATAGTGGTTGCTTGCAGCCGTGTTGGGAGTGAATCAGAAAAAAAAATAATAAAAAATTTAATGTTCTTACCTAACTGTTTATTAGATTTAGAAAAAAAGCACCTCAGCATATTGTAATTTTGTATATTGCATTATTAAAAAAAATAATTTTTTTCATTTAGTTGGCTGAGTGGAATGCCTGGAAAGTCTCAAAAGACTGACATACATTATAGGTATCAAGTTTCAAGCAGTAATTTTTTGTTTTCTATAGTATAAAAAAAATTTCAATTTATTGTTGCAATTTTATAATTATAATTTTATGGCTTTCAATTTTTTCAAGAAATCATTTTAAAAAGCTTTAACAATTTAAGAAATAAAATTTAAGAAATAAAATTATAATAATTTTATTTTTTTTATTTTTAATTTATTTTTTTAATTCATTTTAATAACTTTATCATGAAAATCTTATTATTAAATGAAAAAAATGAAAATTGGTTTGAAAAATGAAAAAGCTTGTTTTTCATGACAATTCTTTGTAATAATAGTACAATAGTCACTCAGAGGAATAGTGTTTCGATTTTAATGAGAACCAAGAAATTGGCATTAGTATGTGATTTTGGCATAAAAGTTTGAAGTTTATAGTTTTGAAAATTTGAAATAAAGTTTGAATTCTTCTTTTTTCTTCCTATTGAAGTTTCAAATTATTGAATTGTTATTCACACTCAAATTATCAATATGGTTTCTTCTTTTTTTTACCTCTTTTGAAAGAAAAACAGTGTTTGGAAAAATTAAGGGTTAAAAAGGAAATAAAGGGTTATTTTTTACCATATTTACTTCTGAGAGTGGTTTTTTTTACCCTTTTTTACAATATTTACTTCTGCAAGTGGAATACAGTTTAAAAAAATTATATATTTGTAATTAATTGTGCTTGTTTTTTGCATTTGTGTGTTGTAGAAAAAAGTCTTTTTAATGTTTTTGTTTGTGACTCATTTTCTTATAGATCAACAGATGGCAGTGGAATGTTCAACTGGAGGTTTATATTTCAGTTTGATTATTACCAAGCAAAGAGAATGTTTATATTCAAAAAAAAGGTCAAAAACAACATTTTTATATAAACATAAATTTTATAAAAATTTATTATCTCTAGACTAAACTTTAGACACTATCAAAATTATTAGACTCTAAATTCTAAATTGTTTTCTTTTTCTGAAAAAAATTGTGAGGATTCAAGTCATTATTTAGTCATTACAAGTCATATATTTGTGTGAAAATGTTTAAAATTGTGGATCTGCATTTAATAATGGAAGCTTTTTTTAATGAATGTATTAAAATTGTTCAGAATTCTTATGTTCTTTAAAACTCATAGAAATTTAAAAGTAAATTTAATGGCAAAGAAAAAAAAAATTCGAATTCTTATATGCAACTTTTTCCATTTTTGAGTTTTTATAACATAAAAACAAAAAATTAATATGTAAAAAAATCTGATGAATTTTCCTTATAAATAATTCCTCTTCATCATATAACCACCATCATCACTAAATCATATCTCCACCCATCATAACCACCATCATCAATAAATTTCCACCCAGGATTTTTTGTTGTTACCTCTGCTTTGTACGCTGTATGAAGAGAATGATTTTTGTTTACAATGATTTCATTAAAGTCATAGTTAAAACTTGGAATTTGCAGCAATGTAAGCGTATGTAACAATGTAGGTGTATGCAGCAATGTAGGTGTATGCAGCAATGTAGATGTATGCAGCAATGTAGGTGTATGCTATATATTTTAATATTGGAATCAAGATGTGTTATGAGTCACTTTTGATTTCTCTTTTTGCAGAAGTTGTTTTTGTAGACAGCTTCAGTTAAATTGAAATAAGAAATTTAAAAACATTTTTAATATTGAAAATCTTTTTTTTTTTTTTCACCTTATGTAATCTCTTGCTTCCGAATTTTACTTTGTGACATTGTAACTAGGCAACTAAATTTTCTTTACTAACTAAACTATTACAAGTTCCTGAAATCATATTGATGAAGAATCTTTTTTAACAGAGCAGCTCAAAATTTTATCTTTTAACCACACAGCAGATTTTGCACTTTGATAATCTCTTTATAATCTTTTTTATTTCATCTTGAATATAAAAATTGAATCATAGTCATACTTGTTTAAATAAATATTAAATAAATTTGAATATAAACTGAATCATTATCATAATTGCCTATGTCTTCACCACTTGCATTATCTTGTTCACTACTGGTAATCTGCTCAGTTGATAATTTGTTTAGTCTGTAGTATATTGAATTGACAAAAGAGTTTCTGATGTTGTTTAACCAACAATACCTTTTAAATTGAATTTGATACAGTTTATTTTGTTTTTTCTACTCAACCAGTTTCCATTAGTATTATTAATAACTGTCAACAAAACTTTTCTTAAAGTTTTTGTTCTGCTAATTACTCTAATTATATGGCTAATTACACTAATTGTTCTGCTAATTACACTAGTTGTTCTGCTAATTACACTAGTTGTTCTGCTAATTACACTAATTGTTCTGCTACTTACACTAATTGACATTTTTCAACTTGGTAAATTTCTCTGTTATATATTGTTTATATATAACAGAAAAGTTTATTCAGTTCCAAAAGTTGTTTAACTTGTTTACAGTTTTCAGTTAAAGTCAGCACTGAAGTCAATATCAAGGCATTTGATGGCAAAGAAAAAAAAATTAGAATTCTTATATGCAACTTTCTCTATTTTTGAGTTTTTATAACATAAAAACAAAAAATTAACATGCAAAAAAAACTGAAGAATTTTCCTTACAGATGATTTTTGCTGAAATCACTTTTTGTTGTAAAATTTGTAGCTGTTTTGTATTGAACAGTGTATGACTTATGTATTGCACAGTGTATTACTTATGTATTAAGTTATGTAAAATATTGCAAAGTGAATAATATTTTATGTAAAATATTGCAAAGTGAATGACTTATATGTTACTCTGTGTCTGGCTTACATATTGCATTGTGTATAAGTTGTGTATGAAAACTATAAAAGTTAACTAGAACATAATAGTTGACTAAATTTAAAAAAAAAAAAAAAAATTTTCCAAATTTAGTTATCTCCATTATCAATTGATGAGACAGAATTTTATTTCCCAGCTGAGCTAATTCTTGAATGTAGAGAGGCTGATCTTATTGGCTCAAGAAAATTTGGTATTTTTTATGTTTTGTTATTTTTCATATTGTCTTTTGTGATTTGATGTTTTGTTTTGAAGTTTTTTTAGATTGTTTAAATCTGTAATCTATTAATAATAATTTATTGCTTTATTAAAATAGCTGTAAAATGTTTCAAGTCTTAAGTAAATTATATCTATTGTCTTATATCTGTTGGTAGGAAGGCTTAATATTGATTTGCTAAAGTTGCCTCCATACTATATCAAGTCAAGTGGATGGACTTTAGAAGACTGGGAAGAAAGACTGAAAAACAAAAAAGAAAAGAAAATGTCTTTATTTAAATACAGAAATTTTAAAGGATGGTTGCCTTTTATGGTTCCTGATGAAAATGATCCTAAAAAAAATGTTGAACAGGTGTGTTAAAATACTTACAAAAGAAAAAAAAAAATTATTTTTTGAAGTATTTAGTTTAATATAAAAAAGTTAAAATTATTATTATAAATTAATTAAAGTAGTTAATTAAATGACATTCTAATCATATAAGGTGGTTTAAAGGGATCCTTTAAACAACCTTATATGATTAGTAATTAGAGTAGTTTCTCACTTTTAAGTGTCATTTTGCAAAGGGAAGGTTTTATTAGTGTGCATTGTTGAGGCCACATAAGAAGCCCATTATTACAACTTTGGGTTGATTAGCAGAAATAAGGTTACTGCATAGATTAAGCTAGAGTGCTAGAATGTCATACACTATTTATGGTTAAGTCAAGCTCTCTAATTATTAAAAACATGAATAAAGCAACCAAAAGTGTTAATCATAAAAAATATCATAACCACCAAATTGTTTTTATTCTTTACAAATAATTATGACTTTTAAAGTAATTTTTTATCTGTTAAACTTTTTGTAAAATTCAAAATTAACCATTGTAATAGAAAAGTATTGTGCATTAGATGAAAGGTTGAGACAAAGACTGTTGTTCTTGACATATTCCTCCTCCAGCTATGCAGCCTTGTGGGCAGTGAAATTGTATTTTTTTTAAAAACCATTACCTACTGCTAAAAAACTTTTAGTGACTAGTTGTATTGTTAAAAACAAAAATTTAATAATTTATAATTAGAAGAACCTATTGATGGTTAATTTATATGATTAATTGATAAGATTGCATATGGTAAGATTGCATATGATAAGATTGCATATGATAAGATTGCATATGATAAGATTGCATATGATAAGATTGCATATGATAAGATTGAATATGATAAGATTGCATATGATAAGATTGCATATGATAAGATTGCATATGATAAGATTGCATATGATAAGATTGAATATGATAAGATTGCATATGATAAGATTGCATATGAAGAAATTGCATATGACAAGATTGCGTATGATAAGGTTGCATATGATAAGATTGCATATGATAAGATTGCATATGATAAGATTGCATATGATAAGATTGCATATCGTGTTTTGTTAATATTACATGGGGTTGGTTGAGTGTATAAATCAAGAAAAAGCACCCTTACACCCAAATGAATCAAAACTATTGAAAGGTTTTGTTACATATATTCCTATGACAAAAATATTCTATATATTTAAAATTATTTCACCAGAGATCTAATGCATTTATTTTCAGATTTAATTATAAATTCAGATAGAAATGTGGCTGATTTTTAGTTGTCTCAATTAAGTATTTGGCAAGCTCAAAAGAAATCTATTTGAGAAAATGCTGAAACCTTTACAAAATAATGTTAAAACTTATGCCATTAAAGCTATTTTTCCTAAAATAACATAAAATGTTGTAAACTTTACAATATTTTAAGTGAGCATTGTGCAATGTTCATTATACAACTAATATTCATTTTAATTTTGAGGTAGTAAAATGATAAATAAGTACACTGTAGTGATAGTCAGATTAGGAGTATTGTTAAAGTTTAAAATGATAAAAAGAAAGCACTGTCTAGTGTAATAAAATTATTACACTAGACAGTGTAATAATTTTGATGGGAAAGTTAAAGATGCCACAGAAGATAAAAAAATTAAAAAGAAATAGATTTACAGTCTTGGTAAATATTGATGGGGAAATGAATCTGATTGACATTTCAGATGTTGATCATGCTAGTAGACAAACTCATTATAATGTGTTAAAATACTGGAAGAATATATAATAAGTGATGGCAAAAAAGGTTAATTTTTTGATAGCACTGCTGCAAATAAAGAAAGACTTTCTAGTAACAATGTCAGGACATAAACAAAACTCAATTTTACTTCCTTGCAGGAGAAATATTTATGAAGTAAATCTCAAACACTTTTGTAAATAGTGGAATAACTATATTTCCAGGAAATCTTTTTACAAACGATTCTAGGTTAAATGACTGTTTAATCTATATCAAAGAATCTCTTTCTTTACCAAGTTTGTGTTATAAGGTTCAAAATTTTGTTTGGAGGATAAAGGATTGCATATATTAATAAAACTTTTATGATTTAGGCAACAGCAAGTTTCAAAAGGTGTCTTTCAAAATGTGATTACTTGAACTACATGAAATGCGCAAAATTTAGTAAATTTTATTTTAACTTGACTAAGTACCAGATTTCCAGCTAGACTCGCTTTTAACAATAACTACCAGCGTAAAGGCCATAACATACCCTTAATTCAGTGGTTCCCAACTTGTGGGTCATGACACCAATGGGGATTGCCTGAAAATTTGCAAGGGATCTTCATTATACCTTCTGAAAATAATTTTATTACACTAGACAGTGCTTTCTTTTTATCATTTTAAACTTTAACAATACTCCTAAACTGACTATCACTACAGTGTACTTATTTATCATTTTACTACCTCAAATTTAAAGTGAATATTAGTTGTATAATGACCATTGCACAATGCTCACTTAAAATATTGTAAAGTTTACAATATTTTAAGTATGAATTGTATAGTTTATATTATACAATTAGGAGTCACACACTAATGGAAACTTTAAAGTTAATTTAATTTTTGAAGTCAAAAAACATATTAGTAAGCTTAAAAAATTTAAGTAAGCTTTAAAAATGCAGCATTTTAGGAGCACCCTTATTAATTTAATTGTTGGGATTGTCACAACTTGGCAAATAATGTCTAATGGTTGTGGCATCAGAAAGATTGAGAATTGTAACATTTTAGTAATTTTTTACCACTAATTTAAAAAAAAATCTTTTATACCTGGAGTCCATCAAACTATGCGATTGGAGTTGTAAAATTTTAGTTCATTATCGGAAATATTAGAAGAAAAGCAGATACATTTTTTTACCTTTATCCTTATTTTTACTATTTAATGACACAATCTACCTGTTGTGGTTACTTTGGTAAAGTCAATTGAATACAGTTCAAAGTACAAGCTTCTGAGAAACTTGAATGATTGATTTCTTTTGACTAGAAGAACAAGGAATATTAATAAGGTTTTTGAAAATTTTGTGTAGTGAATTTTCCTTTCAATTTGGTCTTAAATATTGGAGATAAATATTACTTTGTTTTTTTTTCTATTTTTTTTTTTTTAATTCAGTTTTATTTTTTTGTAATTTTTAATTGTTTGTGCAATTTGGACTTTTATATTTATATAATCCCTGTATTATCATCTGGAATGTTTTAAAGAATATTTTAAATTTTTTTGTATATTTTAAATTGTATCAATCTACAAAGAGAATTCTTCCTCTGTAATTGTATTGTACCTGACTGGAACATCCTTCCAAACTCCATTGTATCTGCTGCTTCAGTTAAAGCCTTTAAAAGTTAACTTGATTTATTTCAAAACATTTAATTAAAAACAAAACGAACTGAAATTTATCATAGCGGGGCTTCATTAGTTGCCCTGCTTGCAAATGCTTAAGCATTTGCAATAAATTATGTATATTATTATTATTACAAAAGCAACATTTAAGTTGTATAAAAAACGACATTTGTTATAATAATTGCAGTCATGACATTGAAAAATGCATTTTTAATTTTTGATAACATTAAAAATTTGAGGTAACATTAATATCACTTATTAGCAAATTTTCTTAATTACTTGTCAAAAAAAGTTTGACAAAAAAAAATTTAAAAGTTTAAAAAACCTCAAGACTTGTTAAAAAAATTTTTTTAATATCACAAAAAATGAATATTACAAGTTTTAAAATCTCCTAATGAAGATGATTTTTCTAGATGTATTGATGTGTCTCTTAATTGAATTTTAAAAATTATTCTCTTAATATTCAAGTTAAATATTTTTGAAAAATAACTTTTATGAATGACTCTAATTGGGTCATTTAGTATAAGTCAAGCTAAAATGTGTTATAAACTTTTTTTTTCATAGGGTCGTGTTGAAATTGAAATTGAACTGGTTACTGAAGATGAAGCTAAAGATCGTCCAGTTGGAATTAGGAGAGAGGAGCCACAAGCACTTCCTAAGCCTGAGTATAGCCTATTATATTATATTAGTATTATATATTATATTAGCCTATTATATTGTATAAAAATAAAAAAATAAAAATAGAAATTAAATCATCGGCTAGTGGACTAGACGGTATCTCTGGAACTATCCTTAGAGATTACGCCAATATCGTAGCTTTTTCAATCGTAGCTTTTCTCATCTTAAGTTTCCATCTGCATGGAAAAAAGCTCATGTGCTTCCAATTAAAAAGAAAAACGGCGAGTATTGCCCTATCTCATTACTTTGCAGCGCTGCAAAGATCTTAGAGAAGATTGCACTCAAACAGTGGTTAATACCTTCACTTCAGAAAAAATTTAATCTGTTTCAATTCGCTTTCGTTCCAGGCCCTTATAAAGGCACAACTAATGCTCTTACAGTGATGGTTCTTTGGACTTTAAACAAACTCATATCTTCAGGTGGTTATGTTTGATGTATCAGTACCGATTTTAAAAAGCATTTGAAAAAATCTCTCATCTTGTTGTCCTTCTTACAGCTACAAATGATTTCAATTTACCGGACTCTGTTACAACTTGGATTAAATCCTATTTTGGTCATTGATCTCAAAAAGTCATTGTTTCTGGTGTCTCTCCAGACTCCATCCCTTGGACCAATATAACAAGTGGAGTTCCTCAGGGGTCAGTTTTAGGTCCATTTCTTTTTACTATGGTAGTTAATGGAATGTCGGTACTTGATAATTCACGAAGTCTATTAAACTTGTACTCCGACGATACCACGCTATTACATTATGTTGGCCGTAATAACATTGATAACACACAGGAAGAAGTGAATAATTTGCTAAGTTGATCACTACGTGCAAAAATGCATGATTTTTCCTTAGAAGGTGACAAAGGGGTTGCCAATAACTGTCGCTGGCAGTAAGTTAGAAACTCAGTCCACTATTAAACTTCTTGGGGTGACTTTACAAAATGACCTTAAATGGGAATCTCACTTCAAAATCGTTCATCAGAAATGTTGCGCCGGAACGTCGGCTATCCATCGCCTGGTATCATATGGTATTCCTAATGATTTAACATGGAAAACATATCTTGCATTATTTTTTTCGCATATGGCTTATGCTTAGCCTGCGTTTTGTGATATCTTCTGCACTCAACTTATGAAACTGTTTACCATAGAAAAAGGCGCTTCTGTTTTATACAACTAACGCCCATGCTCCAATCAACCTGCAAAACGTCTTGAAGGCATTTGCCTCAGATTAATAAAAAAAGTTGCCACATTGTCTGATCATCCTCTTAGATCGTTATTTTCAGTCAGAGCTATTGTTAGAAATCTTAGGAACTCGTGTAAGCTGTTAATTTTGCACCCAAAGTCGATACGGCTAATGAAATCTTTTGTGGATTTTTGTAAGAACTCATAAATACCTAGATATTGTATTTATTTATAAAGGAAATAATAATAATAATAATTTTTATCCTATTCTATTATATTAGCCTATTATATTATATTGGTACGAGTATTATAATCTAATAATCTATGTTTATGTACTTTAGTTTAATGACCTTTTTAACAAACCAAAATAAAGTTAAATTAAGAAAAGGTCTAATGTAGGAAAGAAATAAGAAATTATTTTTCATGTTTTGTGTTTATTATTTAATGTGCATAACAACAACAAAGATTATAAATGTTGTAATATAATGTATATTATATAATTTATTGCTTAGAATCAAAATAATTTGGTTGTACATTCAAAACACTAATTGTTTCTTGTTTTCTTATGTACATTTAATTGTATCCGTTGATTCTTCAAACAGTTGTTTTGTATGGGTACACTTTTGGCATATTTGGTTGTTATTTTTATTGTTTAACATTTGTATTAGACTCTTTTTTTAGTGTATTCTGTACATTAAGGTAGAGTGAAAATAACTTTTTTTCGAAATTTATTATTCTCCTTCATTTCTGTATTAATTATAAGAAAACTAAAAAAATGAGACTAAATAGAGCAAAATTGGACAAGAATTACCCCCTGCAGCATTTTTTAGCCAAGTTATGCAAGTTTTCAAAATTCACCATATTTGGTGTTTTTTCTTTGAAGTCATAATTTGTAGTGTTTTCTCTTTTGAATGCATTTTTTTCTAGTCTATTAACATGTTACTTTAAAATAGGTTTAGAATTGAACAGTTTCATTTACTACGTAATATTAATATACATAGAGCCAAAATTGTTCTAAAATGTTATAACAAACCTTTGTGTTAAATATTAGCATATTCTTTATGTCCAGGGGGACATATATCATACCACCTTTTTTTATATCACCACAAACCGAGTCAGAAACAGCTTTCTGACTATTACAAGTGGCACGGTAATTTTTTAAAAATATCAAAAATAAGTTTAATGCAATTCTCTTTTGCTTTTTTCAATTGCTCATCAGTGAGTTGTATTGTTAGTAGTATACTACCTGCTGTGAATTACTCCAATTAATCAAGTCACACATAATCTATGTCATAAAATTGAAAGTAGGAACTTTGAATTGTTGCACACTTGTTTGATTAATTTTCATACTGCTTTCTTCTCTAGCTCTCTGTATATGCTTAACACCTGTTTTTTGAACTTTTGACTGCTCATCTAATATCATTGCCAAAACATTTTCTTGATAACCAAAGAATGCATTTGTTTGAATAACTTGTCTACTACCTTATGTAGGGCATTTGACAGATACCATGGTTTGATTATTGTACTGCATAGATGCCATTTTCCATAAAGGATAATAGACTCTTTTTTGATGATGAACCACATGAGCCATCTAGATTAAGACAGTTTTCCAGGGCTAGATTAGCAGAACAAGTGCCACTTAGTACATATGTAAAAAAGGCAAATCTGATCTGTAACAAGCATTTTTCAGTCCAACCTCTGACATTCCTATATTATGGTTTATAGATTGAAAATCAAAAATCTTACAAATTAAGAGACATTCAAATAACAAGAAGCCTGAACAAGATTTTAGTACATTCAACTCCACAAACAAATGATATAGTGTAAGGTCATTTTCATATAGCAAACCTATTAATCACCGTAGCAAACAAATTATAGACACCGTTGATGTTTTAACTCAATCAAATAATATCACCCTTGCTTCCAGTGCTTACATTAGTTCCACACCGCCTAGCACTTTCAAATCATCCAAAATGATATTGTGTTTTTTAGAATTCTTCAGAATTTAAGATTTTAGATTCAGCTTCAATTCAAATACTATAGATTATGTTAATTATGTTATTCAGATACTATAGATTATGTTAATTATGTTATTCAGATACTATAGATTATGTTAATTATTATAGATTCAGCTGTTTCGCAAAAAAAAGTGTGTTGTCTCAAAAAATATCATCGAGGTTCCTTAATCATGGTTTTTTACTTTTCTGTCATTCTGGTTTTCTTTTTATTTAAAGTACAATTATTTTTATTATAAAAGTACAACACCTTTACTTGAGTTTCACTAACTTTCAAGTTAACCCTGGTTTTCAAACTCTCACGCTTTATCTTGCTCCAGTTAATAAATTTGTTTTGTCATTATGTAAAATAATGTCAATATCCTCAAGTACAGCTTATGTCATAAGTGTAACAAAAGTGATAAAATCTAGATGCACTACATCATTAAGGTTTGACCTTTTTTTCTTTGTCTATTGATCCAATAGCCAATTTTAAGTTCACTTGTTGTATCTTTCAGGAAAATGTGCTCCATAGCTAGTACATATTAACTTTGGCATAGCAGCATTATCTAAGATCTTTGCATTGGCAAGCAGATATATTAATCAGTTTTGTTATTCCTTATTGAGGTGAACTTTTTTTTTTTGTTTTCTCTGTCAGCAGCTGGAGTTTTTGCTTTGCTGAAAAAAGTTACTCTCTTTGTCAAGAATGTAAATGATGACAGATTGTGTTGCTATTAAAGCTGCTTTATTCTTTTTATTTCGGTGATGACAGATTGTGTTGCTATTAAAGCTGCTTTATTCTTTTTATTTCGGTGATGACAGATTGTGTTGCTATTAAAGCTGCTTTATTCTTTTTATTTCGGTGATGACAGATTGTGTTGCTATTAAAGCTGCTTTATTCTTTTTATTTCGGTGATGACAGATTGTGTTGCTATTAAAGCTGCTTTATTCTTTTTATTTCGGTGATGACAGATTGTGTTGCTATTAAAGCTGCTTTGTTCATTTTATTTCGGTGATGACAGATTGTGTTGCTATTAAAGCTGCTTTATTCTTTTTATTTAGGTGATGACAGATTGTGTTGCTATTAAAGCTGCTTTATTCTTTTTATTTCGGTGATGACAGATTGTGTTGCTATTAAAGCTGCTTTATTCTTTTTTTTGCGGTGATGACAGATTGTGTTGCTATTAAAGCTGCTTTATTCTTTTTTTTTCGGTGATGACAGATTGTGTTGCTATTAAAGCTGCTTTATTCTTTTTTTTTCGGTGATGACAGATTGTGTTGCTATTAAAGCTGCTTTATTCTTTTTTTTTCGGTGATGACAGATTGTGTTGCTATTAAAGCTGCTTTATTCTTTTTTTTTTGGTGATGACAGATTGTGTTGCTATTAAAGCTGCTTTATTCTTTTTATTTAGGTGATGACAGATTGTGTTGCTATTAAAGCTGCTTTATTCTTTTTATTTCGGTGATGACAGATTGTGTTGCTATTAAAGCTGCTTTATTCTTTTTTTTGCGGTGATGACAGATTGTGTTGCTATTAAAGCTGCTTTATTCTTTTTTTTTCGGTGATGACAGATTGTGTTGCTATTAAAGCTGCTTTATTCTTTTTTTTTCGGTGATGACAGATTGTGTTGCTATTAAAGCTGCTTTATTCTTTTTTTTTCGGTGATGACAGATTGTGTTGCTATTAAAGCTGCTTTATTCTTTTTTTTTCGGTTTTTTCAGAAAGTTTCTGTAAAACTATATTATATATTTAATTGTACTTTTTTTTGAGAAATAATATGCAATGTAGGTTGCTTACATTTTCTCACAAATACATTATATGCTTTTACTCCACCTTACAGTATATTAAGGTGTCTTAATGAGTTTTCTACTCCGTTTTTTTAATCAAAATATACACAAATATTTTGACCATAATTTGTACTCTATGTATATCAGTTTTCATTCTGACTTTTTATGGCAAAAATCATAGTTTTGGCATTTATCTACTAAAAAATATTATTCAAATGAAAAAGCAAAGTTTGAGTCTTCCATAGTTATTTTCTTCGATTTCCGCTGACCATCTTTAATCATCAATTTCCACTGACCATCTTTAGTCATCAATTTCCATTGACTGTCTTTAGTCATCAATTTATGGTTTAGACTTGTTTTTACTAAAAAAAATTTTGAAAGAGTTCCTTGTTCTTTTCAGTTCTCACGTTGAATGTGAAAGATTTTCAATTTAATACTTGTGAAAGATTTTCAATTTAATACTTGTGAAAGATTTTCAATTTAATACATTTTAACCTGATTCAATTCTATGCTTTTGTCTTAGAAATATTGGTAAACTTTTACAGATTCTAGGACTCGACTAGCTCTTCCAGTTAAATTATTATGGTTGTATCACTCAGCCTTTGTTTCTATATTAGGAGCTCCTGAGCACCAAAATTCTTTAATATTATTTTCTCAACATTGTTATCAGCCAAAACGCATATAAACATTTTTCATTTGATAAAATGAAAATATTTTCATCAAAAAAAAGTTTTTCGTTTTTCACTTTATCATTATTTTTTTAAGTTATGTAACTACATAAAGTAGCTCTTTTTAGAGACAGATTGTGAATGCATGTAGATTTCTTTTCAATACTTAAAATTTACTTGTACTATATGTAAATATTCCATGAAATGGAAAATCTATTTCAGAATACATTAAATTTGATTTGGATGCTATAAAGTTGTATTATACATCATGCAGATTACATACAGTAATCTGTATGGTGTAAGTTAAGACAGGAAAAAATGTGCTAGAATTTTTCTATCAATTAAGTTTTGGAGTGTAGAACATGATGCCATTTCTGTCCTCATATACTTTTTTGTGTTGTTTTACAAGAAAAAAGCGAGAAAATACAACCAGAATTAAATATTATCAACGTTGACAAAGTTTCAGCTGTTTTGTTGATGTAAAACATCAACAAGTTTAAACAGCTGAAATTTTGTCAACAAACAGCAAATGCTTATTGATAAACCTCAAAATATATAAAAATCCCTTTTTCTTTTCTTTTACTATGAGAATAGTTTTCTATGAACAAAAATATAATGAAATTAACTAGATTAAAACATATGTTAAAATTTTGCTTAAACTTTTTTTAAAAATTTATATAAAAGTTGAGCATTTTAACTTGTTTCTAAATATACTGACCAATAAAAACATAAATATAGAATATAAAAACCTTGAAGTTTAGTAAATATAAGTTTATAATTTCATTAAACTTTTTTTTTTATAATTATTTATACACAAAAAATTATTATTTACTTTAAAAGGAATAATCTAAATCTAGAAAAAATGAGTGACCAAAAAATGACCAAACGACACATTGTTATAAGAAAAGTATTGTAAGCAGATAAGTTAGAATGCAATTGATTTTTTTTAAATATATTATAAAATGTATATATACCACCTTGTATCAGTTGTTTTTTTTCAAGGAAGGTTACATTTAATATTTCTTAAATTATGTAAGCCCATGATTCCATTAACATTTTAAAAATAACAATATATTTATTGACATAAAAGTTTTACTTGAGCTTTTTTTATTTGTTTGTAATTTATCCATTATTTTCTATTACCTAAAGATTAAAAAATTTAAGAATTCAAATAATGTATAAATTTTTTTGCAGATGTACAATAACCATATGTATAATAATGACTATGCTGGTTATTGTAACCTGGCGTTACTTTAGATGAAATTACTTTTGTAACTTTTTCTCAAAAGTTATTATCTTGAAGCTACTTCTGACCCAATCCACACATTTAAGCTTTGTTCTCACATAATTTTATGTTCTCCCATAGTTTTATGTTCTCCCATAGTTTTATGTTCTCCCATAGTTTTATGTTCTCCCATAATTTTATGTTCTCCCATAGTTTTAAGCTGTTTTCTCCCATATTTTTTTTTTTTTAGTAAAAACTTATTGCCCTAATTAAATAATTTTAATATAAATAATTCAATTGTTTACATTTTACATATTTTATTATATTGTGCTATACATAATGTGTTTTATTGCAAAAAAAATACATATATAAAAATTTGAAAATTTTTTATTTATTTGTTTTATATTATTTGATTTTAATATCATAAATTTTTTTACTTCATTATTCATTTAATTATATAAGAAGGAAATTGTTTGGTTTTTTTAGGGATTTAATTTTTCTTAATTTTTTTTCTACTTAAATTATAAATTAAAATAGAAAAAAAAATTAAAAAAACAAAAACTTGAAAATCATCCATAAACAGAGTGATTGAGAGTGAATTCAATAATTAAAAAGAGTTTTTTTTTTTACTAATTTGCAAAACAATAATTTGTTTATGTTAATTTTTTTTTAGTCGTCCTGAAGAGAGCTTGGGATTGTTTATGAATCCTTTTAAAATGGCGAGATTGTTGTGGAAAAGCTACAAGTGGTTTATTTTTAAAGTATTATTATTGTTGCTTCTGTTACTTCTAATTGCTTTATTCATTTATGCTTTCCCGGTAAGTTTGCTTTTTTTTTTTTTTTTTTTTTTTAAGATAATTAATTTTATAAAAAATTATTTATATATTTTTTTTGGTTTGTTTAAATTTATTTAATAATTTGATACTTTTATTATTTTTGACTAACTACTAAATTATAGATATACTCATAAAGTATAGATATAGATATCTAAATGTGGTACTTGACAAGTGATAGAAAACTTGACTTAAATTAAGAGGTTCAAGGTTTTAAACCACTTTATGTCTATGGAAGTACCGCACTGAACCTGTTTATTTGTGATGTCCAGTTTTTGTTTTTAAGTTTGTTTATAGGAGTTAATTGAAGTTTTTGTACTCTTAAAAATTTTCATATACATTTTTTAAAGTGTAATTTGCTAAGCAAAACAAATACTTGAGATACCTACAAATTAATAATACTGAATGTTGATTGGAAAAATATTGTAGAAAAATTAAAAACTACAGGGTAGAAAAATTAAAAACTACTTTTGAACTACTGTAGAAAAATTAAAAACTACTTTTAGCTGATAAATTAGCTACAACAATCACTACTGGTAAAATCTAAGCATTAAACTTGTATTGAACTGTTTTAAAGAGCTTGAATTTAAAAAGGTTTTGCAAATCTTATAGCAACATAAACCCTTTTTTCTTTTTTAACGAATTTACTCCCAGCAAGGTTTAAATGGTGATTACAGACAATCACCATTTAAGTTCTGAGTTTACTTTTTTCTAAACTCGGGTTTAGAAAAAAAATTTTAGAGAAAGAATGGAATGGTTGACAGAAAAATTAAAAAGTTGTTAATTATATGAGTCAAGTAAAAAATGAAGAGTTAAGAAAAAGGTGAAGATAGTAAAGAATTTTGCTGATGTTTGATGAAAACAGGTAAACAAAAAATTTTTGAGCTAGAAAAAACAGTTACAGCAAAATAATGCAACGTTGCTGAATGACAAGTCAGTATTTCATTTAAAGACAAATAAAAGTATGACAACAATATTTCTTAAAACAATAAATAGTCCATATAAGGACAAATAAATAGTTTATAGAAATAGGAAGTGAAATCAGAAATAAAAATGGAGAGCATGACAATAAGAGGCAACTCCAGCTGATCATATAATTTTCATGAGAGGTCATTAATGAAAGATAAAACATAAAGGGATCAGTAGAATTCTTAATATTATCATCAGGATCAGTAAGAGTATTGTGATTCATCGTCAATCATCAAATATGTTGCTCTATAAGGTTTAATGCAAAAATGTGTATATTTTTGTTTTCATATTTTTTAGTAAAAATGTTTTCAAAATGAACTTTAAAATGATATTGATATCAAATAATCAAAGTCTCATGGATAATTTTAGGCTTCAAACAAAGAGAATAAAAAAATTTTAATGTAAAAAATAAAATTAAAAATTAAAAACCCCCTGGGTTGTGCTGTGCTAACATCTGTAACTTCTTTTAATTTATCATTATGGCTTTATTTTTAATTTTTTTTTTTTGATGGTTGTAGAAAAGTGGTAATTTTTGAGTAGTTAAAAAATGGTTAAACATTTGAAAGAATCTGCTTTTGTATATTTCATTTTTTTTTTCATTTTTTCAGAGGGAAGAAGGGAAAATAAATTTAGTCTCTTAAGTTAAGTTTATGAAATGCAAGTTTTATAAAATAGCATAATTAGTTTAATAAGAAAAATAATAAAAAATGACTGTTTAACATGTTTCGTTACTAGTGTTTGCTGTTGCAATCAACAACACATTTGTCAAATTTTCTTGATAACTGGAATAGCGCTTGTAAATTTTGAAATTTGAAATGTTTATTTAATGAACCTATTTTAAGCTATAAATTATTTTAATCAACCTTTAGTTGAGGCCTGCTAACACAAAAAGCTCATAATTTTAGGCTGATAATTACAGAATATTGTAATTACGTAAACAAAAACAATTGAATTATGTAAACAAAAATAAACTATTGTTTTAAATAACTAGAAAATCTAAAAGTCAAAATGTAATACATAATATATATAATATGTACACATGAAACTAATTTTTAATTATAAACTAACATAATTAAAAAAATAAGCTAATGAAACTTCAGCATTATAATAAAAAGATATTTTTAGGTGTTAAAAAAAATTGTTAAAAAGTTTTAAAATATTAGATAGAAGCTAATTAAAGATTAAATAGAAAAAAATTAAACTAAAAAATATAACAAATAATATTATTATTTTTTTAATAACAAACATAAATAAAATTTTCAATTGTTGACAATATGGTTGATGTGTTAAATAATGTTGTGACAACCCACTAATCACTTGTTTGAGGTTAACTTTCATTTTTAGAAATGATCCAGGTTCAAGATATTAGGTTGTCATTTTAGGTGCACGACGGAAAATACTACATTTGTATATTTTAGCATCCAATATTATCATACTATATTACCATCAATATCAATATTGTTTTGCATAAGATTATTGCAGTCATTTTTAATCAGATGAAGAAGACCAATTTTATCAATTGTAATTTTGAATGGTTGATACTGAATACAATTTTTTTTTATTATCATTATTATTTTTTTGAATGGCCAAGGATTTGAAATGCTTCAATATTATTGAAGCTGATCCTTATTATATTAAATAACCATAAAATACCACAGACTTAAACCTTTAATATAACTTCTTGTTAAAGTTTGTCAGATTTATTTGTTGATACATTTAAATTACTGAAGAAATGAGAATTTCTTATTATTTAGTAGCAATACCTTATTAAATACCTTTGATAAGAAATACTGCATATTGATAAAAAAAAATTTATTATTGAACTGATAAAAAACAATATTATTTCATCAGTTTGAATAAAATTGTAAGAAACGCTGTAAAACTCATTGTGACATTTTTTGGTCTGACTAAAAATTTTTTTAGCCTAAAAACAATTTTATTTTTAAAATGTTGTGTAATGTTGTTAAGTGTCTTATTATGTTATTGTCTTAATATACACAACAAATAAGAATTTTTATGTAATTAACAGATAAAAAAATTATTTAAGATTAAAGAAAGCTAGATGTTCAGGCCTGAGTGGTGGTTCGACAATCATTACATAAATATTCTCTAAAATAATTTTTCATTTAAATACTTTTTGAAAATTTCATAAAACAAGTGAAATTAACTATGAAAAGTAAATGAAAGTAACTATGAAACATTCCTATCAAGCAATTAATCAAATTCTGTAAAACTTCCAGCTATTACGAGGATGAAGTATAAAATATAATCTAATATGAATAAAATATAGTCCATGTTTAAGAACATTGTACATTTTGGTTATAAATACAATTTTGAATATGGAACTTTTTCACTATAAATATAATTCTGAACATTTATAAAAATGAACCTTATAAATTTTTTTAATTAGTAATAATACTATATTCAAGCATTTTTATCCTATATTCATAAAATTTTTAAATTAGTAGTAATGCATATCCATTTTCCAGCTTGAGTTATCTCTCAGTCATGGTACAAACTCAAAAAATTTTTATGTTGGTGCTGGTTTTAAATGAGGTTGTTTAGCAAAAAATATCTTGAATCACGAGTATAAAACTACTTAAATATTGTGGCCAGACCCTAGATGTGGGGAACGCTATTCCCAGACCTGAATCTGCGGAGTTTTGAGGTTTATTTTGTGTTTGTTTTAATTAAATCAAATTTCATCGGAAACCTCGTTTTAAAGTGGTGACTTATGATTTTATTACCCATTAGTTGGGTGGTTAAACTAAATCTCAAAAATGCTCAAAAAATTTTTTAAATATGCTCATTAAATTTATGTGCTCATTAAATTTTCATGTGCTCATTAGACGTTACATTAAAAGACTTAGTTGGTACTTTCACTTTATTTTAGTATGAATATCTACATTGTTAAAATTGTAATTACATTGTGTGTTAAAGCATAATATAAATTCTATGCATGGCCTTTGGGTAAGAATTATTTTTGTTGTTTTATGTATGCAAATAGGGTGTTTTGTTGAACTTTTTTAAAATTCTTGAAATTTTTAATTCATATCATCAATTTGCCCATTTATGACAATGTTAAGTTGGATTTGGTTTAAATAAATAAATGAAACTTTTGATGTAATTACTGGAAATGAAAAGCCTGTTTTTTTAGGCTTTATTTTTTAACTTTTGTCTTTCTAAACAACAATATTTTTTATTTATTTTACGATTTACACAATTCAAAAGTATTTTTTTTTCAATGTTGGTTACAACAATTATTTTCAATTTTTACTTTTGTTTTTTTGTGCATTGTAAAAATGATAAATCTAAGTTTTTCAGGTTATTTAACACAAGTAATAATTAGTTAAAGTTCCTTCTTGTTTTTTAAATAAAAAGCTTTTTTTCTGTTTTTATATTAAAATTAAATAAATTTAACATAATTTACATATTACTCAACATGTGCTAGTTTGGTTTACTTAAATGGTTTTTATTTATTGTTTATTTTTTTAAACTGGATAATATTTTTATTTAATATTATCTAGGTTTACAAACTTTTTATTTTTGCAGGGTTATCTTGCAAAGAAAACGATTGGGATATAGAGAGTGAATATTAAGCAAGATATCAGATACCGATATAGTATAGTTTGCTGATACCTAATTGCTGTTACAACAAGCTGTCCTTTTAACATTGTTTTTAAAGGGCTTTAAAAACTAAAGAGTTTTTAATTAAATCTATTTTATACAACGTCAATACTAGAATGCTACTTTATTCTGGAAAATATTTACACCTTGATCTCACAGAACGGATCCCATTCCAACAGATTTAATACCAACGGATCCAATACCAACGGATCCAATAAGCAATTTTTGATCAATGTTTTTTACGATAAAATTTTCTGAATAAATTTTTGGCTAAAACATTCTGATGAACCTTTATGTCGTTTTTACGATAAACTTTTAGAAACTCTTAGAGTTTCTAGTTACTTTGATTTTATGACGAATAACTTAACGAAATATTATTTATAAAAATTATGTTAATAAGAAATTATTATTTATTGTTTATAGTTGTTTTTGTTACAAAATCTTTATTTGAACAGCTCACGAAGGAAACAGCAGTTTAAAAATAAATATATTTCCTCCAGGAAATATAATTTGTATTTTTAAACTAAAAAAAACTTTCTTTATGAATTAAACCTATGAACTCTGTACCTTTAATACATTACTCATAGTTTAATGCTTAATTGTAACAAAGTGCTTTTTTTTTAGAAAAAAAAGCTTGCAGGTAGCGGTCTTGCTAATTTGACAAATAATATTTAAACTATTTTGGCCATTAATGATGCTCATATAGCTGAGATTATCAGATTCATCTGTGAAAACCCTTGTTTGCAAATGGGTATAGTATGTAGAGTATGGAATTGGGTATAGTATGTAGAGTGTGTACCAAATGAACTAGATTTTTAGGAAATGTTTTTTCTACAAGGTATTCATGGAATCCACGTATCACCACGTATTTCTTTCATTTAATTGTAGTCTTATTTACAATATTCTTATCAGTTTTATTAAAGTAGTTAAACGTAATTATCATTTGGCCAATGTTTTTGGTTTAAGATACGAGCCCATTGAGCTAATCCAACATTTTTGTCAGCTAGCAACTTTTTTTTTATAAAAGGCACTTGAATTTATTTTCGGTTCGTTTTTGCTATCTTTCTTTTGAAGAAAAGTTTCATGAAAGCGGAGATTCTGTACAGAAAATGAAACAAATTTGTAACAGGAACCAACATTTTGTCTTCTTCCTTCGAATAATAAAGTATAAGTGTTTTTTTTGTTTTTTTTTTGATATTCTTTGTTCAGATCAAAGTTGCGCTCCTAAAAATCCAAACTCGATACCGACAATTCTCAGAGTGCATTGCACATCAATCCTAGATCACTTAAAAGCTCTGTGAATATAATTTTTTTAAACCTTCATAAGTTGGTTTTTGCACCTTCATAAGTTGCTTATCCCTTGTAGAATCACCCATCGCTTTTTCAAAAAGGTTCACCAAGAATTCATAATTTTTCTATGCTGCAAAAACTAAACGGAAACTAGATAACACCCCTTGTGTGTAATTTATATTCGATCAATTTCTTATCAATTTTAATTCTCACCAGCTGAATAATAGAAAATTTCGCACACAAACTCAAAATTAAGTTGATTAATGAAATCATTTTACTGTCTTTTTTACAGCACTAAATGTAGACTATCAGTATTGATTTTTGGTTTATAGAGGTTAAATCATAGTTAACAAAATCTTACCCTTAGATTACTTTGAATCAATTTAATGACTTCTGCAATCTTTTCTTAGGTCCTAGGCTAAATAAATTTTTGAGGTTTTCAAAAACATTTTGAGTGAAAAACAAACTTTGTATTTGTGTAGCATTAAACTGTTCGTTGTTTGCTTTCGTATCCTCAATTCTTTAGTTTAGCGCTACAGTTTTTATACAGATTTGTTCTAGAATTCGTGCATAGTTATTCTCTAAGGGATTTAGTGTTACAACTATTTGTGATTGTGCAAATAGAATGTTATAAATGTTTTACAAAAAAACTTTTACGAACTTTACAAAATGTTAATAATTGTCAGAGGAAATTGATTTGTAGCAACCATTACATTCATAAAATTTTTATTTTTTAATTTCTCCCTAAAAACCCTACCAAATTTTTTTTAACTCATTTCAGGGCCCTGAAAATTGGGGGGCTTAGATTGCAGCCTAATTAGCCTGAAGGTAAATTCGGCTCTGTTCGTTTTCTATATCATTGATAGTATTAATGCATTCGTTTGTAGAATAAAGAGTACAACCCATTTCAACTCCAATTTCCATATCAAACTAATTTAATTACGGATATCTTTTTTCAACTTAATGTGCAGTTCCAAAAATTTTTACTGTTACAATTTTCATACTCGTTTAAGGCTTTAGAATGTTGTTCGCTAGAAAGAGGCTTTAGAATGTTGTTCGTTCCTAGTATTTTTTTTGCTTCTTTTACCAATTTTAGAGCAGGTTCTTTGTAAATAGATATTTTTTTTGTAACAAACTTTGCTGTTGCTTTTTATTTTCTTCATAATAAAACATTTTATTATTGGATTATTCTTTAGATATTTACATTCCTATTTTAGTTTCTACGCGAAGTGTTTTAACTTTTTGGAAGATCGTGTAGCTAAGCTTTTTTTTTCAAAAAAAGAGCCCCTTCTTTGTAAAATAGAAATCTGTTTTTAGTTTTAATTTTCATTGATTTTTTCTTAACCGGAGAGTCAACCAAGAAGCTGGTGATTTTTTTCATATTAGGTAAAGCGTTAATTTTTTTATTATTTTAAAAATATGTTGATTAATTTATACTATGAAATTAAAACGTTATTTATAGAAAATTTGCTAATAGTGTAATAAAAGTTACTGTCGCAAATTTAATTGCTTATCGGGTAAGAGCTTGGGTCGTACCTCAGACCTTTTGATTCTGAGCTAGAACTATAATCACTGCACAGAGTATCAGAACTGTCTAAAAATTAAAAAACTATTTATTGCATAAATATAGATATATGATGCATTTTTATAATCGTTTTTGGGGCTAAGGAATTTATTTCCGGTATCGATTTAAAGTTTGGAGGGTCATAACCACGCAGATGGTCATTTTAAGAGTTGTCAAGAGTGATCATATCAGATGATTTTTAAATTAGATAAACATGTTATATGTCTAAATATAAGTGATTTAAAATTCTGGACATATTTGGTCTTTAGGATTGGTCGTGAGCGCTCAAGTAGTTATTTTAGGGATGGTTAAGAGTAGTCCTGTGATATCCCGACCATTTTTTTAATTAGATGGGATAATGGAATATTAGTCTATTTAAATGTAGGTAGTTAAGGTTGATTATTTAAATTCTGGATATAGTTGGTCTACAGGAGTGGTTTTGACCACACATGTGTTCATGAACTGTCAAGACGGTATATTCTTTATTTTTTGTTATTTAATGAACTTAATTTCTTTGATATTGGCAATATAAGCATATAACGTACAGTTGAACTTTTTAACATAATTATTTATTTTACAAGTAAGAATCTAGGAGATAACATACACCATTCATCAGTAAATCAAGAGTCCCTTGTCTTCATTAGGTAGGCTGGAGCTTTCAATGACTCCTCTTTATTCTGAACGTTATAAGGTTATGGCTCGTTTGAGGCCTAGAGGTTTTATAATAAAATTTTTATTGTGTAGTGCTACCTGTTGTTCTTGAACACCTTGTTGGAAGACATTTATGGCTCATATGTCAGAAATCCAACTGGAACAGTATTTATGCTGACAACCTGATGACTGTGTGCCAACACCTTATGAACTACTTGGAGCATATGATATCAGTTGTACAGGCTGGTGTAATACAGAGAGTAATGTAAAATTTCTTCATCAGCTCATCATTAACCACAAAAATCTCTGCTGGTGTTTTTTACAACCTAAAAAACCTCCTGGCAGTATTGCCACCATTAGAGTTTCCAGATCTTTTTGACTTTAGATATTAATACCAAGACCAGCCCTTAACAATACTTGAATCTATTTTCTTTCGAGCTTAAGTAGTTCTTATCCCCTCCTATTGTCATCCACTTATTTTAAATACAGCCTGTAGATTATGTGAAAAACTCAGAAATTCATATTATTTACCTACTAATAAAGGGTGGACTATTATTCCAACTTGAATAAACTGCAGAACGTTTATAGATTTAAACATGGCCTATGTTTAAATTTATAAACTTTCTGCAGTTTATTCAAGTTGGAACTGGTTAGGCCGCATATACTCTAACTGCACCTTTTGGGTTTAAGTTGGCCAACTTTCACTTTAACTTGTCGTTTTTTCATTATAATTTGGTAATTTTCACTTTAATTTTCCATTTTTTTATTTTAATTAGCCATTTTTTTCATTTTAATTTAGCGCACTAAACTTAGTCCTTTAAAAATAAATTCGTGCCAAATTAAAATAACAATTAACAAATTAAAATGAAAAAATGCCAAGTTAATGTGAAAATGGGCCAACTTACTTAAAAAAGGTGTAGTAATTGTATTACGTTACTTAAATGGTGGCAACTTTTCCATTATAACCATAGTCTCCTCCATCTTCTTTGCTCTCCTTTATTAGTAGGACAGGTGAGGATTATTATATGTGTATTATTATATGTCTGCTTACTTACATCTACTGGTCCACAGTCCAGAAGAAGGGCCAATCAACTTTAACATCACTCTAACACTTCTGCATAGTTGTTAAAGTCATCATTATTGGAGATTCTTTGTCAAAACTTAAACGTCCTACTCTCTACTTTCCTCCTCTAACTTGTAGTAGCTGGCTATGAGTACCTGATCCAGAATCTTTACTGCATTATTTTCCTTTGCTCTCCTCTTTTGGTTTAACCCAACTAACCCTCAACTAACCCTCCTCAAATGACTTTCTTAGCCTTCTTTCCTCTCTTTTACTAGCATTACCTTAAACGATTTGTAAATAATTAATTAATAACATAATTAATTTGTTACAGATGGGTCTCTTAAACTCTCCTCTCTTGTGTTGTTAATATATTTATATACATTACTCACTTTAAAAAAAATTATAATTATAGTATATTTAGTTTATAAACTTCTATCTTTTTCTCTGTCTCCAGCTATTCCAAAAGCATGTGGCGATTGTCCATAAGGAATTTTATACCTATTCTTGCCAGACTTAGTCCAGCCACGGTTAAACCTCTTCAGCCAAACTTTGGCAAACTCTTGCCCCTGTTTGATGTCCCCTCACAATATAGTTTTTAACTGGATACCTTTGGTAAGCTGGTCAACTTGACCTATGTCGTAAGATTGGAAAATGTGGTACGTAATATAATCATTATTGATTGTACTATTCCAAACCCTAAAACTTTGCAGTATTTAATTTAAGATGAAGTGAATAAGTATTTTGCTAAGTAATTACAAAAGTTAATTGAAGAAGAAGAAAAGCATTCTTATTATGCATAAAATAAGTTTTAAACCTTTCGAACCTAACATTTTTGTTATTTTAATAAAATAATCATAGATAAAATACCCATTATTTATAAACACTATTATAAAAAAAAATTTGGCATAAAAAAGATATAAGTATATAAATATTTATAAATATATAGAAAGATCTAGATTGTTGCAAAAAAAATCAGCAAAAAAAAAGTTTTATCTGTGTAAAAGTTCATGAGTCACAGAGAGTTCCATGATGTAGTAAAAGTGATATTTTTTTCAAGCTCAAATGTCCCCTTTAAGCAATCAGGGATTGTTGACTTTTTATCAGCAAACAACCCGTTAATGTAAAAAAAAAAAAGATCGTTAATGTAAAAAAAAAAAGTATAGGGCAAAGAATAGGACCTTGAGAAACCCCTGAAGTTACAAGAAATTAATAAGAGCGCTGTTCATCCAGAACAACTTTTATACTACCATTGGTAAAAAAGGATTCAATAATCTTAAAGATGTTACCTGATACACCGTTAGAATAGAGCTTAAGGAGAAGACCACCATGCCAAACCTTATCAAAGACTTTAGAAATGTTGAGAGAGATAATCTTAGTCTCTCTACATCTATTTAATGCACGATATATATTTATACTTCATTTATAAAAGTATTCTAAACATATATTTCTTTGTTTTTCTTTGTTAATATACTAAACTATAGTTTAAAATTTTTATTTTGTTTTTTATTATTTATTTATTTTATTAGTTTAAAAATTTTAATCTTTATAATATTTTAAATCTTCCCATAATTTGTAATTTTAGATTTGTTGAAAGTGAATTTATATATATATATAAAATAGTTATAATTTCAAATTTTTGGAATATTAATTTCAGTAAATTTTACCAACAGGTTTTCAGAAACATGGAAAAATTAGGAAATTTAAAAAAATTTACCAGGTTTACGTGATATATTAAAAAATTTTCAGACAAGCGTAAAAATAGTTATGACTAGGTTTAGGATTAGTGTTTGGCAGAGACTTTCCGTTTTAACTCTCCTTGCAAAACAAATGATGTGTTTTATATGATGACGTATAATTGTCACGCCATTATGCAAATAATTTTTTATTAAACAATCTTAAACAAATACTCCAAAACTACAAATAGATTATTTTAAATGTTATCATAGATTTCATTACTGTCCCAGCACACCATTTATGTTTTAAAAAATATCAGGTTTTCTGTTCATGAAAACTTTGATAATTGTTTTTCGACAGCAAAGAGCTAGTTAGTAAACAACGAACACTTTTATTTTGTGTGTGTCTCTCTCTCTCTCTCTCTCTCTCTCTCTCTATATATATATATATATATATATATATATATATATATATATATATATATATATATATATATATATATATATATATATATATATATATATATATATATATATATATATATATATATATATATATAATCGTTTATATATACTTACGATATCAAAATATGTAAATAAATATTTACATGGCGGGGGCAGAGAGAAGACAACAGTATCTCATTAAGCTCCGTAGTTTACACTGTTTTTTTACATTACAACAGTTATTTTATAAAATATATTTCTTTAATACCGTTAAAAATTGCCTAAAATATATTTTAAATAAACAGAAACAAAAAGAAGAAGAAAAAAAAAATTTGACACAATTTAATAAAGCACTATAAAAACCTAAAGATGTACAAAGAAAAAATGACAATGAAAAAATTTCAAAACATTGTTATTATTTAACTTTTTATCAAAAGTAATTTGATTAAAAAATTACTTTTGATAAAAAGTTCAATCAGATAAAAAGTTAAATCAGTAATCTGATTGGGCAAGTAAAAAATAACACGTCTTCTTATCATGAAGTTTGAGCAGCAGTGGCGCAGTGGAAGCGCGCTTGCCTCAGAAACAAAGAATCCGCGGTTCAAACCCCACCTCTAGGTAAGTTTTGCAACATCGGTAAGGAAGGAGGCATGAGCTTTCAAATATACGCTCATCCGCGGTGCTATGTGATAAGACAGTAAGGACTTCTTTGAGCACCTAAATAAAATTAAAAAAAAAAAGTTTACAATTTCTAATATTATACAAAAGTGTGTAAATAAAAATTTTGAAAAAGAAAATTTATCAAATAAACTGAAGCTCATAAAGCTTTTACAATTTAAATACGTATTAAAATAATTTTTGATAATTAAAAATGATTAAAAATTTAAGACATTTAAAAACATCTAAAAGATTTAATTTTTTTTTTTTTAAACATAAATAATTTTTTTAACAAAATTAAAACAATAAAATCTAAAATATTATTTTAAGTAGTCAAACAAAAAAATCTTTAAAAAAAAAAATTGAAAGAGTGTTATATTGTTTAAATTTAGTATATATTTTTTATAGTTTTTTTAAATATATCGATAGATCTTATGTTTTTTATATTTTCTTCAAGAACCGAGTTCCACAACCGTGGTTCCCGACATGTAATTGAGATGTCAGATTTTTTAAGTACATTAGTGAAAGGTAGTGTATAAGGTAGTTACTGAAAGGTAGTTGTTACTTATTTTAAGAGACATTAGTGGAAGTAGTTACTTAATGAGTTTCTTGTTGAATTTTTAAATTAATTACGGACAAATTTTTATAAAAATGTTTTGGAATTATTTGATTTTGAAGTTTAAACATAAATGATAAGTTATGGTAGATATTCAGTTCACAAACATTGAAAGTATTAATCTTCTTGAGTAAACGCTTGGCACTTTCGTACCTATCTGCGCCCAAAATTAATCGACTTGCTTGCTTTTGTTTAGTATAAATGTTTTTTAGTGAAGATAAGTGAATACTTGCTCAAACAATATTACAATAGTTAATATGACTATGTATAAAAGAATAGTATACATTTTTTAAACATGTTTTATTCTAAAGATATTTTGTCTTGTACTTAATCCCCAAAGGTTTTGAAACTAAAAATTGTTAGGTTACAACTAACTTAAAACAATACTAGCACAGATTAAGTAGCAATGGATTAACATGCAGTGGACTACACATCCAGTAAACTTGTGGTAAAACTAAATTTGAAACTTTCAGATATATGAACGGATGTATGTATATATATATATATATATATATATATATATATATATATATATATATATATATATATATATATATATATATACACTCAGCATATATTGTAACTTTTGTTAAATAAGATTCATTATTGAATCTTATTGAACAATAAGATTCATTATGTTTTTATTTTTACTTTTGAAGTCTTTTTTTAATAAAAATCTTGTAAACATATAAAGAAGTAAATTTTTCTCAAAAATGTTTTTAAAATGATTTTTTAAATTTAGACTTGTTGAATTGTTTTTAGTCGGGGTTTTTATGTTTAATTTACTAAATGTAATATTTTTAAAGTAATAAAAGTCGATGCTCGAAGGATAAATAAAACACTAGGATTTGTTTTGATTTAACCAAAAATATGTTATTAAATTATCTGTCACGTACCTTTTTAAAGTATTTTATTTATGTTTTATGTATATGTTTATGTATACAATTATGTATACATTTATTTATAATAATGTATTTATTTAGCGGTATTTTATTTATGTTTAAAAAAGTACCAAAACTGATTCATGTTTGATGTAATGAAACTTTCTGATTATAAAAAAGTCTGCTGAGTTTTCTCTTCTGAAAAAAGATTAAACTTTTTTTAATACTTTGCACACTGTTTACGTAGTTGCGCAGTGTATTGCGTAGTGTATTGCGCGGTGTATTGGACTATTACTTGATTTATTGCTAAGATTTTACGACTTTTTTAAATCACGATAAATTTCTTACTTGAGTTAGATTAGAATAGCGGGATATCGAGTCCCAAGGTTATTAAGTGTAAATCTTAAATAGGTCATCAAAGGAATGTTGACTCTACTCTTAAAGAAACCGCGAAAAACAAATATTATTTCAACGCGTTTATAAATAATACGCAAAATTTTGTAGCTGATCATTAATGTAAATTCAATAATCAGTTCAGTGTTTGTTTCTGAAATCATGAAGAGTTTAGTTTTGTTTTTAGTGATCTTTGGTAAGTCTTTAATGATCCGTAGTAAAATTTTGTGTTAATTTTTGATAAAATTTTAGTGATCTTTGTTTTTCTATTTAAAAATAGCTGTTTAGAACTGAATTTTTTTACAAAAAAACCTCTTAAAATTTTAAACTTTTAAACTTTTATATTTCAATTTAATTTTTTATTAATATTACTTTGCTTTTAGTTTTTGCTGAAGCCAGTATTAAAAACTGCAAGAAAAAAGATTCAAAAATATCCGCGGCCTTATGTAATGCTGCTCATGACAAATGTTTAGGCAAGGTTTTCTCAGACGCGGATCTTCGTTCCAAAAAATGCAGCAAAACTAAACCGTTGAAAGTAACACTGAACAAAAAATATCAGAAGCTAAACGAAACATTTTGTGGCAGCGATGGAAAGCAATATTTGAGTGTTGCAGAGGCTATAAATGCTGCTCAGTGTAACTCGGTAGAAATTCTTCATAAAGGTGCGTGTGGCCAGTGCAGCGAGGATAACTTGTGTAATAAAAGCATGCGTAAACCAAAAACAGTAAAGATTAATAGCACCATGGTGTATAGTGATTGCTGCCAGTTTAAAGTATCCGTTTGCAAAGCATTTAATGAAAAGACCCAAGTTATTTTGTTTAAGAGCAAGCAAAATAAAGGTAAAAATTTAAAGTTATTATAAAATTTAAGTTTTTTTATCAAGTTATTATAAAGTTATTAACAATTTTATTATTAATCATATTTCACAGTACATTTTATTTTTAATTGCGGAGATTATAAAAACTTCTTTAATTGATAAATTTTAATTTAGCAGGAAAAAAAGGATCAAAAAAAGCAACTCGATAAGGAACAGAAAAAAATCTTTATTTAATTTATGGCTGACACGAACAACACGAGTATTTTTAGTAATTTAAACGCTTCCATCATGTGTAGAAGTATTTATATCATATAAACTGACAAGAATTGTTTCAAAACGAACCAATCAAGTTCAAAGACTAAAAATAAACTTTTCTTTTTGTTACGCTTCAGTTGTATATAGCAAATATTTTTATGGATTTATGCAAATATTAAAAAATGAGTTATTTACTTGTTCATTGATAGATATAGTGAAACCTTTTAGGTGACGCATTAAAAAAACCTTATTTTATTTATTTATATAAGTTAATTCCACCGGATATACATTCATTTGTGATTTCAATTTTTGTTTTTGTTCCGATGTTGCTATTTAACGACAAACTTTCGAAATTAGTTCTCAATAAAAATTAATTCAAACCAAAAAAATCAAAGATTTCAAAACAGTTTAGAAATATTTTCAAATTTTTTACAAACAATGACTAAACTGTAAAACAACAAAGTTGGATTTTATTAACTATTCTTTTTTTAATAAAAAAAGGTTATTCACTGCAGTGAAAAACCAATTTTTTTTTCTTTTAAAAAATAACACAAACTGATTCCAGCATAAGAATGAAAGAAATTTTTGCGTGTGATTAAATCATTTTGTAAAATAAATTTAGAACAAATAAAAGTTAAAGCAGATAAAAGAAATAAATTGTGCTAGTTTATTTTTTTTTACTAAAAAAAAAAAAAGAAAATTTAAGTCCGTAGATAATAAAAAACGCTTTTTGAACAGTTTGAATATGAATCAAAGCGTTTTTTATTATCTACTGACTTAAATTTTCTTTTTCTTTTTTAGTAAAAAATATAAACTAGCACAATTTATTTCTTTTATCTGCTTTAACTTTTATTTGTTCTAAATTTATTTTACTAAACGAACTTATATAATTATATCAATTGTAAAACGTAGTTTTACACATTTTATATATATTTTATCTCAAGCATTTATTATGACTTCATATATTTTATTGTAAAAAACGACCTGTAATGAAGCCACAATGATAAGACAAACTGATGTCTTCTTCTTGCTCCAGCCATTTATTTTATTATTTATGTTATTTTATAAATTGTAACTTTCTAAGACAAAATTAAAAATATAAATAAATAAATAAAGATAGTATCATGTGATAATTGCTTGAGGTATTAGCAAAGCTTTTTACTTTTTATATTGCCCCCAAATTTTTTTTTTGTTTACAAAGCTTAATTTAAGTTTAGAGTAAATTTGAGGGCATTGCTGATATTCTGATTGTAATGAGTCAGTTCATCCTTGAGAGTGGTTTAAATACCGCAATATTTTCATATATTAAGGATCATCAAACACATTATTAATTTGAGCAAAAAATATACTTTTTTGCTCATATTAATAATGCGTTTAAATAGAAAAAGCAGAAAGTTGCAATTAAAAGCAATTAGTAAGGGTTAAAAAAAAGCCATTAAAAAGGACTGACAAAGTGAAGAAAAACAACTAGAATCTTATAAACTTTACTCATCTGGAAGTTTTTGATATTTGTTTAGCTATAAAATGTTTTTTGCCGTTTTTTAGCTTTTGCTTTTTTCAATTTTTTTCCAATTTGTAACTTTTGAAAAATCATAGTTTATAAATGACATGAGGTTTTAGCTTCAAATGTTTAGGGTTTGTTCTACATATAACGATAGAGGGCCATAAGCCAAACTGATGTCAAAAACAAAGTGCTTCATAAGTTATTAAATTTTTTCTGTTTCATTTCATCAGCTGACCTTCGAAATTGTATTTTTTGTGAAAAAAAAAGTCTTTTCTACGTATTGTATTTTTCGAAATTGTATTTTTTCGAAATTGTATTTTTCGAAGTTGTACTTTTCTACGTATTTCGAAATTTTCTACGTGTTTCGAAATTGTATTTTTCGAAATTTGTACTTTTCTACGTATTGTATTTTTCGAAATTGTATTTTTTGTGAAAAAAAAAGTCATTACTACGAAGCATGCGTTGCGGTCAATATGTTATCAACAGAATCTAAAAAAACAAAGCCAATTAAAATTCCTATTCTAAAGAACTGAAATTCTCAAAAACTCAAAATAAAAGTGGAAAGTATTGACTATGATTACTAACATACAAATTTTTAACTATTGTATTTTTAAATTTATATTTTGAAATTTAAATAGATTTTTTTTATTATCAAAATAATTGCAAAAGGTAATTGATGGCACTGTACACTGCAGAATAGGGATGTCCCTCTGCAGAGTGTACCAAAATGCCAAAAAATCATTATCGGCATTTCATGCTGGAAATTTGGCATAATGATGAAAACATGTTCAAAACACAATTTTGCATTTTTAATTATCAACTTTCTTACGCTACTATTTTTTTAAACAAATTTTATTGAGTATCATATAATATATTAGTAATATATTATATGATACTCAATAAAATTAGTTTAAAATTCAAGTAATATTGTTACTTGAACATTATTTTTATCGCTCAGACTTTCCGAAAACGTAAGTGTACCTCTTAGTTTTTATCCATGAGTGACAAATAGTTTTTATGTGTGTTTATCAGTTTATCAATAGTTTTTATCAGTGAGTTTTTTTTTTAAATTTTTTTGCTACTAACTGTTATTATTAGGCAGGGGTTAAAATATGGGAAACGTAGGGGAACGCCGTTTCTCCTTAGCCGATAAATCACAAAACCGTTCCGCTTCTCTATATATTTTCTTGCAACCGTTCCACCATCGCGTATCTGAGTCTTTTTTTTATTATTAACGCGATTGTCCATTATTTAGGTAACGCCTAATTTATTTCATAATTAAAAGTCACTTTTTATGTTTGCGTGGTGATTATTATTGAAGTTAAACAGCAATTTTAATTTTTGGTTTAATAAAAGACTTTGTGAGAGAAAAATCATAAACTGTTTTAATCGGCATGGATTTTCGGATACATATTTATCCGACAATTTATTACGATTTTGTTGTGACGGTGCCTCTGCAATGACTGGATAAAATAATTGAAGCAAAAGTTTCCTCGGTGAGTTGGATGGCATTACTTGAATCATCGTCTTGAACTAGTTGTAAGTGATGCAGTTGAAGTATGCGTTGCGGTCAACTATTTTAAGTGCTTCATTAATACTCTTTATGCACTCAAAACTCAAAAAACAAGAAAAAGCTTTCTACAGCAGCAGTTTTTTTTTTAACATCTTTGCTTCCATTAAGGCTGCAAGAAACCACTGTAAGAGTTAGAAATTAATGAAAGAGAAAATATGAAGATTGTAGAGCAAGATAACGATTGACAGGCGACTGCAAAGATTGCAAATTATATGAATTAGGAAAGCAAGATGAAGGAAGCGAATTCCAAAGAACTGATGTTCAAGTAAAAAAACTAGACGAATAAGAGTATTTGGAGCATTTAGGAACTATCACATAAAAAGGATGAGACTTAATTAAATGAAGAGTAACACGAGAATGAATTTTAGCAGATGGCACAAGAGACGCTAGTTATTTAGGGCAGTGCCCGTTATAGTATTTGTAGAAAAGAGAAAAAGAAGCAACATTACAACGATGTAATAATGGTTGGAGGTTGGCTACAAGAGCAGGTCCAACTATATTTACAATGTGTTTTTGCACCTTGACTAAAAGAGAAAGGGCATCATTAGAAGATCCGCCCCAGATATAGCAATAGTACTAATAGTATCCAGAGTAAGAAAGTGTCAAACTTGATAGAGAGATGTAACCTTAGCAGTTTTTAATTTTGCAATAGATTTGATATACATTTTCCAAGAAAGATCAAAAGTAAGAGCTGATCCTAGAAGATGAAGGGTAGATGACTCGTTGAGTACATTCATAAATATTCATTGAGTATTATTCATAAATATAGGAAGATCTTAATTATTGCGATAACAATTGGCTAAAAAAATTGAGTTTTATTTGAATTCAAATTCACCAGCTACTGTGAGCCTCATGTTGTAGCAAAAGTAAGGTCCTTTTCAAGCTCAAATGCCCCCTCCAAGCAATCAGAGAGTGTTGGCTTCTTATCATGACAATAATAAATGGTAGTATCATCAGCGAACAATGCCACCTTAGATAAAAGAATATCTGGAAGATTGTTAATGTAAATTAAAAAGAGTATAAGGCCAAATATTGAACCTTGAGGAACCCCTCAAGTTATAGAATATGAAGAAGATTGCTGTCCATTGAGAGCAGCTTTTATACTACGATTGGAAAGGAAGGATTCAATAATCTTAAAAATGTTACCAGATACACCGTAAGAAGAAAGCTTATGGAGAAGATCAGCATGCCAAACTTCATCAAAAGCTTTTGAAATGTCAAAAGCAATTGCTTTAACCTCTCCACCTTTATCTAGTGCACGATAAAATCTATCAGAATGTTTTTAGATTCAAGATGAGAGATAAGTGTTTGTTAATTAATTCAAAAGTTTTACTTATGATAGGAAGAAGACTAATGGGACGGTAATTAGACGAATCAGATCGCTCTCCAGAATTTTTGAAAATTAGGATAACAAATGCCGCTTTCCAGCAGGCAGGAAAACAAGACTCTTGTAAGCACTTTTTAAATAGTTTTGAAAGTATAGGCGACAGTTCCGAAGAACACTTCTGCAAGACTATAACAGATATATTGTCCGGACCACAGTTATGGTGGAAATTTGTCCTTTTGAGATTTGACGAGTTCTTAGTACAAGATGGGTTACCTCACCATTTTGAACGGTAAAAGCCGTTTTGCACAACTTTAAATTTTTACTCAACTCCTTTGAGTCCTGTGTTGGATCAATAGATCCAACACGGACACAAAGGAAAGAGCCAAGTATAAAAGCCTTGCACAAAAACTTGAAAGCGCATCATTTCTTAAAAACCTGGCATTAATGTATGATGCATTGAAAGAACTCAAATCAACTTCAGAAGTTCTTAAATTAAAAACTGTCACTCTGGCAAAAGCAATTTATGTTGTCTCTCGACTTATATTTATCCTCGAAAAGAGAAAGTTTGAAGGAGGTCCTAAGTTTTCTGAAGTCAAACTGGCCATTAAAAATGGTATTTTTCAAAATATGATTATATTAGAAGATTATATCAATTTTTAATTGATCAAATCACGTTCTATTAGAAGCTGGTAATAAGTTTTAAGAC